CGTCACAAATCACGTCAGCGTTGTCCCTGCGCCGCGACCGCATTCGGACAGCGATGAAGGGTGGCTCGAGGCGCTTTGTGCGGGATCGACGGACCTGTCAGATTCAGAGCGTCAACAACTTAAAACACTACTGCGGGAATTTTCCGACGTCTTTAGTCGGAATAAATACGATTTGGGTTGTACTCACCTGCTGCGTCACCATATTGACACGGGTGACAGCGCGCCAATTCGCCAAAATCCGTTTCGGTTGAGTCCCGCCGAAAAGGACCATGTCAAATCGGCTGTTGATGACATGTTGGCCGCCGACATCATTTCTCCTTCCACCAGCCCTTGGGGAGCGCCGATCGTCCTGGTTAAAAAGCAGGACGGTTCGTTGCGGTTTTGCGTTGATTTCCGGCGTCTTAACAAAATTTCGGTTGCCGACGCATACCCGCTCCCTCGGATGGATGAATCGCTGGACGCCTTGGCGGGAGCGCGATTCTTTTCCACACTGGATTTACTTTCGGGATTCTGGCAGCTTCCTCTGGACGATGATTCAAAGCCTAAAACTGCTTTCCGTACACCGCACGGCCTGTTCCAATTCAACCGGTTGCCGATGGGCTTACACTCAGCGCCGGCAACTTTCCAGCGTTTGATGGAATTGGTTTTGGCTGGATTGCAATGGGAGTCGTGCCTCATTTATTTGGATGACGTTATCGTCTTTAGTAAAACTTTTGACGAACATCTCCAGAGGTTGCGGGCGGTTTTCCTAAAGATGCGGGCTGCTAATTTGAAATTCAAGCCCCAAAAATGTCATTTGTTGCGCGATTCGGTGCGTTATTTGGGGCACATCGTGGGACGCTCAGGTATTGCTACCGATCCCGTCCAAAACGCAGTGTGTCAGCTCCTGGCCGACTCCCACCTCGGTGGGAGAGGTCAGGAGTTTCATTGGGTTCGCGTCGTATTACCGACGGTTCGTCGCTGATTTTGCGACAATTGCCAAACCCCTGCACGCTTTAACATCTAAAGGGGTTCGGTTCCACTGGGGTCAAGAGGAGGAGGCTGCTTTCTGCTCCCTTCGGGACGCCCTGGTAAAAGCCCCTCCCTTGATTTACCCAGATTTTTCTAAGCCCTTTTTGCTCGACACCGATGCGAGCAACACGGGTATTGGGGGTGTGCTTTCCCAGGTGGTTGATGGCGTGGAACGGGTGGTCGCGTACGGTAGTCGGGTGTTGTCTCCTGCGGAGCAAAGATATTGTGTCACCCGTAGGGAACTGTTGGCAATTGTCTATTTCATCCAACAGTATCGCCCATATCTGTACGGTCGGCATTTCACCGTCCGCACAGATCATGCGGCACTACAGTATGCCCTGCGAGTTCAACAACCATCGGGACAGTTGTCTCGATGGTTGGAGGTTCTCCAGGACTTTGATTTTGAAACCACCTACCGTAAGGGCGTTCGCCATACGAATGCGGACGCTCTGTCGCGCATGCCAACCACCTCCGAATGTGCATGCCTCCTGGGGTCGGGACGTTGCAGGCCTTCAGGGGACGCATCGGTTCCGATCTTGGCAGCCACCGACGACGACGAACCATTGGTTACTAATTCGATCGAACAACAGGGAAGAGATTCCCTGTTGGGGTTGCCCGTCACTGAATGGGGGCGCCTCCAAATGGAGGATACCTCCCTCCTCGGGTGGCGTCGTCGCGTCGGGGGTGCTGGGCGGGTGAAGGGGGATTCGGATGCATGGGGAATGGTGCAAGGTCTGCTGATGCATTGGGACGGCAAATCCCAGCGACATCGGCTGGTGGTCCCTTCTGAGTTGCGAGGCAAGGTGGTGTGGGCCGCGCATGAGCGCCTATTACACCTGGGGACCCAAAAGACTCTTGCACTGCTACAACTTGATTATTTTTGGCCTGGTATGACGAGGGATGTTGGGGATCTATTGGGATCATGCCCTCGGTGTGCGCAACGGAAACCGCCGGCGCGGGAGTCTAACCCGCCCTTGCAATCGATCAAAGTATCCAGAATAAATGAGCTTGTCGCGCTGGACATTTTGGGCCCATTTCCCGCCACCCCCAGGGGCAATAGGTATTTGTTGACAGGTGTCGAGTATTTTACGCGCTGGCCTATGGCCTGGCCCCTTGCCAACCAGTCGGCAGCAGCCATCGTGGAGGCCTTTGTTCAGGGATACGTCCTGGACAAAGGTGCTCCGGAGCGGCTGCTGACCGACCAGGGCAGAAATTTTTCCGGTAAATTACTCAAACAAGTCTGTGACCTCTTAGGCACGAAGAAAATTCGTACCTCCCCGTATCACCCGCAAACTGACGGAATGGTCGAGCGCCTGCATCGCACCATTACGTCAATGATGTCACAGCAGGTCTCGGACTCGCAGACTGACTGGGACCTGCATATTCAAGGGGTCTTGGCGGCATACCGGATGGCACCCCATGCAGCTACGGGATTTTCCCCCTTTTACCTCATGTATGGTCGCGAACCCGACCCGCCTGTTCGCGCCCAGCTGCACATCCCCGACCCGCAAGGGAAAACTAAATTGGCTGACCACGTCAAATTTAATCTGGCCAAATTAACAGAGGCGCGGGATGCTGCTATGCTAAACTCGGACCTCCGTCAAAAGGCGAATGAGCGCCTCAGGCTGGGTCGGGCGCACGTAATACAGTGGAAGCCGGGGGACAAGGCATGGTTGCACTGTCCCCAAGTGCCCCTGGCTACCTCCCCTAAGCTGGCGCGGCCGTGGCGGGGCCCTGTGGAGGTGGTCGAGGTTTTGCGACCACAGTGCGTGCGCATTAAATGGGGGAAGCGGCGATGGTTCGTGCACCCCTCTAGGTTAAAACCCTTCGTTGCGGTACACAAACCCACTTCACACATGCGTGGCCAAACGTGTGGGGGGTCGACCGACTCACTGGGTCCGTCTCCGTCGTTCTCACCTAATGCCTTGCCGGCCGTGCCACCTCCAGGTGCATCAGGACTGACGGGCTCACGCCCGACCACCCCTCCTGGGGATACCGACGGTCGCGCGGCATCGGATGAGGTCTCACTCCGGGACGGACAATTGCCACCTGACGGTCCGCCACCCAGGGTTACCCCGTGTGAGGGGCCCGCTGCAAGGACGCGCGCAAAAATGCGCAGACTGTTATGAGGCCGGAAGATGTGTACATAGGTTGTGTTCATCGTGTGTTGTGTGGGTGGTGTGTTCCCTGCCCATTGAAATGTACATAGGTTGTGTTCATTGTGTGTTGTGTGGGTGGTGTGTTCCCTGCCCATTGAAATGTACATACGTTGGGTTCACCTGGTGTTGTGTGTATGGTGGGTTCCCTGCAAATTGTATATAGGTTGTTTTTTTTACGGAATTCGTATTTATTCAAGGGGGGGTGCGTCGGGTTGTTTTCTCTTCTTGCTGTTGCATTTTGTTGTGTTCTTGTTGCTGTTCTTGTTATTGTTGAAAAATAGTGAGGCACACGCGCGGTCAAGGTGTAAATGCACTTTTATTGTCACTTTTGTATGTTGGCAGCCGGGACGGCTGCAAGCTATGCGGGGGGGGGGGGGGGGGGGTGATGTAGGGGTGTTAAAGAGAGGGCCCGTTATGCATGGCAGCCTATGGAAAACAAACACAGTGGGCGGGGCTACGTAAGTGCACGAGCAAGTGCCCTCTACGACGTCTGAGCCAGACACCCTGGGGGGGGCTGGTTCGAACGTTATGATCCCCCGGGGCCCCACCCCTCAGGGAGGGGTTGGGTATAAAAGGGGATGTTTCAAAGGGCTCGGCAGTTATGTTTAAGCTAAGGGAAGAAGATTGAAGACGTCTTAGATAGAGCCCTGGACTCCCCTGGTTCGATGTCCTTTTCAGGGCCGGACAGGATTGAGCCAGCGGCGTGGTCCCGGAAGCCAGAGCCGGTGCTCTTGTAAGAGCTGGTCTGGAACTCCGGGTACCGGGCCCGACTTACCAGTGTCGGGCCAGTTAGCCTCCCCTAGCCCATTAGTGGAGGATTCGGGGCTAGGACAGAGTTAGCTAGGGGTGTATCCCGAGTTATACGGGTGAGGGGGCCGATACCCCCTCGAGTGTGTATATGCCCACTGTCATATTGTGAATAAACATACGTGTGCCTCAACCTCGGCGTCAAGCGTCCTCACCGGTACTTCACAGGGATCAAAGAGCATAAACCATCAAGTGAACTCCGGTCATTCTCGAAGCAGTGGCTTTTGGCTGGCCATTGAACAAAGATGGTCACTGCATCGCACGCATCGCACGCTGTCAGATGTGCTTTCGATATTAAGTAGCCGCTAGAGTTATGCACTTGCAAAGCATTTAGATTGAAAATATATATTTTTTACTATTTGTGTTTGGTTTGTTGTCCTTCCCCCGCACCTCTGATTAGCACGGTTGGCTACGTACTATGCGAAATAAGTTCAACACACATACATCACGAAAGGAAAGGTGATGGACGGGAAAGGAGTGGATGGGCGAGAGGAGGGATGAGGAAGATAATGGACGCACTCTCGCAGAAGGCAATTCAGAGGCGTGAGGAGGAGCAACTACAGACAAGTGGAGAGGCAGCAGCAATGATGTGGTGATGAACTAGGGGTACCAACAATTTCCGAAGCTTTGCGTCCCTTTATAAATGAAAGTGTTATCTGCCAATTTATCATGAGAGTTTATACATATGGGAGGAAACCAGAATACGCTGATAAACTGTGTATTGGCATATGGGTAAACACTCTATCCCGTACAGATGAAACAGGTGTGGTTAACATTTTTTGCTGTACCGCCTACTGCTAGAGTGAGGGAATGGCTCCTCCACGCCGCCCACCCACGGGGATGGGACTTTCACAGCCCATCCATGCGTGATCCATCAACCCTCGGCAATGCTGCCTCCGCAGTGCTGGATTACCCTGCTGACACTTGGAACACAGCCAGCACCACTACCACTGCGCATACTTTGAGGACACAGAGTCATGTTGATTGCGATTCATGATCAGTCCGAGCGACCTCTATACTGACCGTTGGGGGTTGGGCTCGTTGTGTGCATCGGCCTTGTGTTTGACCATCGTGTACCTCCCGATCCCCGCTCTGGGCCGGGCGACGTGCATGCCACTCGCCACTGTCCTGCAAAGGGGATTTCAGACAACGGTCGTGAGATGTTAACTCCCTTGCCTGGTATACAGGAGGTCGTGGGTTCTATCCCGACGCCTGTATATTTGGAGTTTGCATGTTCTTCCCATGGCGGCATAGATTTTCCCTGGGTCCTCCGGTTTGTCCCTCGACAGTTAGACATGTCTGTTTATATTATTTGGCTGCTGCTATACATTTGCTAATGTTTATAAGCTATAATTTGTGATCGCCAGTTTGCTTTTGAAAAAGAGCAACATAGCTCAGTCGGCCTTACCTGCTAAATAAAAAAAATATTTTAGTTTAGTTTTTAGAACAGGTAACACCCACTTAGCTTGGTTCTTTTTCAGAGGCGACCTGTCCACGTGTCTTGATAGCTCATCATCATCGCAGTCATTGATGTAATGTGATTTGGTTGTGGAGCGACTGCATAGGAAAACGCGCTGCGAGAGTGGACGCGGAGCCGCGGCACGGGCGCGCGGTGAGATAATCGCTCGCAGGTGTGGCCGCTCGTGTGCCGCTGTGGACTGCGTTAACGATATATGCGGTGTGCACGGACGATCGTTGAGATAATACCTCGCAGGTGCGGTTGTACCGCTATGCGCCGCGTTCGCGTGAGTGGTGGTATGCACAGAAGAGTGAACGCGGAGCCGCAGCGTGTGCGCGCGTGCTAGGAGATAATCGCCCGCAGGTGCGAAGGTGGTCGCGGCCCTGCATTAGCGTTGGCTGTGGTGTACACGGGTGAGTGTGGGTTAACTCCGTGCAGCGGTGAACCAGCAATTTAGTTATGTCCCTCAGAGAGGGCGCTAGCGCAGGGGGGCCGATCACCCGGTGGAGGAGGGAGCGGACGTCGCGCCCCACCTGCCCAGCGAGGGCGGTGGGGTGTATGTCGGCCCTCACACATCTCCTCGCCACCGGCCACCTCCTATCACAGTAATCATCCCAAGAGGCAGTCGTTGTGAATATCATCAAACTATACAGGCAGATCAACACGTCTCATCCTTCACAGCCCGTCTTTGCGCATGAAAAAAGTTTCACGTGCACATCCCGTCAGCCACACGCACGGCCTGAACGTGCATACAGTACTATCATCTCTAATGAGCATTTGAGGCAACGCTAGTTACAGCCTTGCACACAAAGGCCAGTTAGTGGAAATTCCATATTTTTATGGCAGAAGGGAGGCGGGGTGATTCTCTTCGATTTGACGTCTGTTGATTTCCCTACCACAAAGTGCGGCTCATTATCTTTATTCATACCTGATTTTTTCGTAAAATTGCGCAAGTAAAATGTTGTGTTGTACACCCTCCTCCACCCGAGGCAGACAATTTAATAAAGTTTCAACGTGAAGTACTATTAATTACTGCTTGCGTAGCATCGGCTCAGCACGGGCGCGATGCTGTTTAGCGATCCACATGGACACCATGTTTAACGAATACGTTATAAGGTCGGACTCATTATAAACAAAGTGCTTGCCACAAATTAACCAAATATCTTATTCATCTGGTCAAGAATAATAAACCATCACGTAAACTCCGGTCATCCTTGCAGCAGCGGATTTTGGTTAACCATTGAATAAAGATGGTTACCGCATCCCGCACTTGCAGATGTGCTTTTTTGGCTGCCTGGAATGCTCTTCCTTCTGATATTAGGAAGCTACTGGAGCTATGCAATTTTAAATATAAATTGAAAACTAATTTCTTTAGAACTGCTTTTTGCTATTTGTTTGTTGTCCTTCTCCCACACCTCCGATTAGTACAGTTGGCTACATATTGTGCAAAAAAGTTCAACATACATATGAAAGAAGACGCTGGGCCTCTTTGTCCATGAGGTAAGTCTTTTTTTCTACGGGAGGGATTTGTGATGCCACAGCCGCGAAGCCGCTCTGCGGGCGCCCCACCTACGATCTCACCAGCAAGCGACGGGACCGACACTGCTTCCCCCTCACCACCCCCCACATAAACACACACACACACCCCCACATAGAGCCCCGAGGGGAGGTCACCTGGCCGACAGGTTTTCACCCAGAAGCCCTCTCATGAGGATAATCTTCACGGTTTCTTGCGGCCAGGGAATTGGGCGATCTCCCCCGATGCTAACTCGCACCGCGGCGCCGTGACTTGGGTTGAAATTACATGGTCACGACGGGGCTGCCCAGCCACCGTGGTTAAGACACACATCACACACACGGGTTGGCAGGCAGGAAGGGGGGCGGAGCCACGAACAGCGGGGAAAAAAGGGCAGGCCCTCTGATTAGTCAGGAGCGTAGCGACAAATCTGGATGCGGACGTCGCTGAGAGCAACGGCCCAGGACTGGAAATCCGAGCGATCTGATTGGCCGGGAAGGCCAGCGGATCAGCGGCGAAGTTTCTTTGATGTAGGTAACAATAAAGGTGAGAGAAGGTAAAGATGAGTCAGTCGTGCTCTTCTGAAGTCGGAGATCGGAGTAATCATCGAGCCAGCCACTGGATCATCCGTGAGACGCTTCCCAGCGCAGCCAGGCACCATGAGAACTTCGTGCAGCCTCGCCTCTCCACGGCTTCCCGCACATCCGAGCTTAACCGACCCGACAACTCGTGGTGCCGCATCATGGGGAGGGGAGCCGGAGAGCGGCAACCCTCTCTCCGAGAACGAGGAGTCAAGCAGCAGCGGCTCTCACATGAGTGAGGAGTCCGGTGCCCACAGCCTTCCCGATATCAGCCCTCCGCCGGGGGAGGACTCTGGGGCCAGCAGCCTCAACAGATTCACACGTTTACTCGCTTTCTCTTGCAACGTCTCGAACTCCACCTCCCCTCTCTTAACCTTTTCCTGGCTCCGGCCTTCGATCCACTGTTTCCACCAATCCTCATCTCTTCCCCTCTCATGAACTAACCATCCCCCCATCTCAATCACCGACTTTCCTGCTATTTTCTCTTTTGAACGTCCCAGCCAATCCACTTGTTCCCCGTGCCGCACTATCCGCCAAGCTGTTTCTCCCACAACACAAACAAACGCTCTGAACTCGCGGACCTAAAAAAAAGAGATGATATAGTCATCCTCTCGGCAGAAAAGGGCAATGCCACGGTCATCATGGATAAAGATTCATACAACAACAAAATCCTGGACCTTCTTAATGATGGGAGTTACTCCAAAATAAAAAAAGATCCTACTTAAAGCCTAACGACAAAAACCAACAGTATCATTACGAGTTCGACTTCCCTAATCGAACCAAGCAAACGTGCCTCTCTAAAACCATCGGCGGCTAGACCTCCCAGACTCTATGGTCTTCCCAAAATCCATAAAGAAGGCACCCTGCTACGACCCATCGTGTCGACGATAAATTATCCTACGTACAAACTAGCCCGTTTTCTATCAGATACTCTGCTTCCCTTCACAGGCAAGACCTCTTCGGCAGTACCCAACTCAACCCAATTAGTCTCTATGGTTAAGGACATGGTACAATCTCCTGATGACATCCTCGTCAGCTTTGATGTAGTATCTCTGTTTACCAAAGTCCCAGTACCGGACACCCTAACAATAATTGAGGACTTAGTCCAACATGGATTGAATTCTGATGGCATTGCCTCACCAACACCTATTTTACCTGGAATGGCACCTTCTACAAACAGAATGAGGGTACCCCTATGGGCTCCCCCTTGTCACCAGTTATAGCCAACATGTTCATGGAAAAGTTTGAATCAGACGCCATCCAGACATCCACCCTGCGTCCTTCCCTGTGGAAGAGGTATGTGGATGACACTTTCGTCATCTGGCCACATGGCCTACCAGCATTGAACCACTTCTTGGACCACATCAATTCTAGACACCCATCCATCAGATTCACCATGGAAGTGGAGAAAGACGGTAAACTACCATTCTTCGATATTCTGTTTGAGAGGAGGCCTGACGGATCCTTGGGACATTCCGTCTATAGGAAAGCCACCCACACAGATTCCTACTTGAAACCGGATTCCCACCACCACCCATCTCAAAAGAATTCTCTCATCAAAACGCTATACCACAGAGCCCATGGCATTTCTGACCAACACCACCTGACCGGTGAATTAAGACATGTACATCGGGCCCTCAGGATGAACGGATACTTTGACCGCACTATCCGCCAAGCTGTTTCTCCCACCACACAGAAACAGCCACATGAAACTCCGACCAAAACTATCACGCTACCATACATAGCAGGCGTGACCAAAAAGATTTCCAAAATTCTAAACAAACATAAGATCCAAGTCCGATTCAGTACAGTGCATAAAATCCGTGATCTGATTCCATCTGTGAAGAATGTCGTTCCTGACTTAAAGTATCCTGGAGTCTACAAATTGAGTTGCATTTGTGGTGATTGCTACATTAGAGAAACGAAACGTCATGTTTCTGATCGTGTCCGCGAGCACAAGTCAGATCTGAAACACGGCAGAACTGATTCTTCGGCCGTTGCCGATCATTGCTACAACTCGGTGGGCTCTCCTGAAATTGTCTTTTCCGAGACCAAGGTTCTCTGCAAACCTCCTGGCTACCATCAAAGGTTTGTACACGAAGCCATACAAATATACAAACACAGACATCATTTCAACTGTGATGATGGGTACAAACTTAGTAATCATTGGAAAGATGTTATCAACCACGCAAAAAAGACTTAATTACACATTTTTGTACCATCTTATCTGACAGGCACTATTTTACTTTACTTTACCTAGTGTTAAAATCCCCAGTGTTTAACAGTACTCTCTTTATTGTTCAGCCAGCACTGGTATAAACATGGGCATTTTCGTTCTTTTCTATCATGTGTATCAACAGGTGCTTGTACACACACATGTCCACTTACACTTGCACCCCACACTCTCTTTTGGCCTCCCCTCCCCCTCTCTGTCCAATACGTTGGCGTGTGCAACAATAGTTGCTTGCGCACAACCACGTCCACGCCGCCGACACTCGTGTACCACGTCGCCCATCCTTTTGGCCCCGCCCCCCTCCCCCTCCTGATACGTTCTACGTAGCACTTCGTGCCT